CGCGGCCCAGCTCGACACCAAGAGTGAGTCTGGGGGCTTGGGGGCTTCTTGGGGTCTTCTCAGGATCTGGGATTGTCCCCAAGATATGGGATTGCACCAGGAGATCCAAAGGGTTGAAGGATCCCAAGAGTTGGTTGAAGGGTGCCAAGGGTTCTCTCCAAGAATTGGAAGATCCCAGAAGTTGAAGGCTCCCAAAGGTTTAAGGATTCCAGGAGTTGGGAGGTAGCAAAAATTGAAGGATCCCAAGGGTTGGGTGGTCCCAAAAGTTGAAGGATCCCAAAGGTGGAAGGATCTCAAGAAATTGGTTGGTCCCAGAATTTGGGGGATACCAAAGGTTGGAGGATCCCAAGAGTTGGGAGATATGAAAAGTTGAGGGATCCCAAAAGTTGGGGGATCCCAAAGGTTTGGAGATCCCAAGGGTTGAAGGATTCCAAGAGTTGGAGGATCCCAAAGGTTGAACAATTCCAAGCTTTGATTGAAGGATCTCAAGGGTTGGGTGGTCCCAGAAGTTGAAGGACTGCAAGAGTTGAGGGATCCCAAAAGTTCAAGGATTCCAAGGGTTGAAGGATTCCAAAGGTTTGGAGATCCCAAAGGTTGAAGGATCCCAAGAGCTGGGAGATCCCAAAAGTTGGAGGATCCCAAGGGTTGAAGGGTTCCAAGAGTTGGAACCTCCTGGGAGAGAAGGTGACGCTCAAATCCTTCAGCAAGTACGCGGCCCAGCTCGACACCAAGAGTGAGTCTGGGGGCTTGGGGTCTTCTTGGGATGGGGGATTGCACCAGGAGAGCCCTAAAGGTGAAGGATTCCAAGGGTTGAGAGATCCCAAAGGTTGAAGGATCCCAAAAGTTGAAGGATCCCAAGAGCTGAGGGATCCCAAAAGTTCAAGGATTCCAAGGGTTGAAGGATCTCAAGAACTGGAGGATCCCAAAGGTTGAAGGATCCCAAGGGTAGAAGGATCCCAAGAGTTGGGAGATCTGAGAAGTTGAAGGATCCCAAAAGTTGAAGGATCTCAAGAGTTGGGGAATCCCAAGAGTTGAAGGATTCCAAGAGTTGGGAGATCCCAAAAGTTGAGGGATCCCAAAAGTTGAAGGATTCCAAAAGTTGAAGGATCCCAAGGGTTGGAGGATCCCAAAGGTTGAAGGATCCCAAGCTTTGGTTGAAGGATCCCAAGGGTTGGGAGATCCCAAAAGTTGGATGGTCCCAAAAGTTGAAGGATCTCAAGAGCTGAGGAATCCCAAGAGTTGGAGGATCTCAAGGGTTGGATGGTCCCAAAAGTTGAAGGATCCCAAGGGTTGAAGGATTCCAAGAACTGGAGGATCCCAAAGGTTGAAGAATCCTAAGGGTTGGACGGTCCCAGAAATTGGAGGATCCCAAGAGTTGGGAGATCTGAAAAGTTGAAGGATCTCAAAAGTTGGGGGATCTCAAGGGTTGGAGGATCTCAAGAATTGGTTGAAGGATCCCAAGGGTTGAAGGATCCCAAGAGTTGGGAGATCCCAAAAGTTGAAGGATTCCAAGAACTGGAGGATCCCAAAATTTGAAGGATTCCAAGAGTTGGGAGATCCCAAAAGTTGAGGGATCCCAAGGGTTGAAGGATCTCAAGAACTGGAGGATCCCAAAGGTTGAAGGATCTCAAGGGTTGAAGGATCTCAAGGGTTGGGTGGTCCCAGAAGTTGGAGGAACTCAAGAGTTGAAGGATTCCAAGAGTTGGGGAATCCCAAAGGTTGAAGGATCTCAAGAGTTGGTTGGAGAATCCCAAGGGTTGGTTGGTTCCTGAAGCTGGAGGATCCCAGAAGTTGAAGGATCTCAAGGGTTGGGTGCTCTGAGAAGTTGGGAGATCCCAGAGGTTGAAGAGTTGGAAGGATTCCAAGAACTGGAGGATCCCAAGAGTTGAAGGATCTCAAGAATTTGGGTGGTTCCAGAATTTGGGGGATCCCAAAGGTTGGAGGATCCCAAGGGTGTGGAGATCCCAAAAGTTGAAGGATCTCGAGTTGAGAGATGTCAAGGGTTGAAGGATCCCAAGAGTTGGAGGATCTCAAGGGTTGGGAGATCTGAGAAGTTGAAGGATTCTGAGAGTTGGAGGATCCCAAAAGTTGAAGGATCTCAAGGGTTGGATGGTCCCAGAAGTTGGAGGATCTCAAGAGTTGGGGAATCCCAAGGGTTGGGGGATCCCAAAGGTTGAAGGTTCCCAAGAGTTGGAACCTCCTGGGTGAGAAGGTGACGCTCAAAGCCTTCAGCAAGTACGCGGCGCAGCTCGACACCAAGAGTGAGTCTGGGGGGCTGGGGATGGGGGATTCACCAGGAGAGCCCAAAAGGTGAAGGATTCCAAGGGCTGGGAGATCCCAAAAGTTGGGTGGTCCCAAAAGTTGAAGGATCTCAAGAATTGGTTGAAGGATCCCAAAGGTGGAAGAATCCCAAGGGTTGAAGGATCTCAAGCTTTGGTTGAAGGATCTCAATGGTTGGGTGGTCCCAGTAGTTGAAGGATCCCAAGGGTTGAAGGATCCCAAGAGTTGGAGGATCTCAAGGGTTGAAGGATCCCAAAATTTGGGAGATCCCAAAAGTTGAAGGATCTCAAGAAATTGGTTGGTCCCAGAATTTGGGGGATCCCAAAGGTTGGAGGATCCCAAAGGTTGAAGGATCCCAAGAGTTGGGAGATCCCAAAAGTTGAAGGATTCCAAGAGTTGGGAGATCCCAAAAGTTGGGTGGTCTCAAAAGTTGAAGGATTCCGAAAGTTGAAGGATTCCAAGAATTGGGAGATCCCAAAGGTTGAAGGATCCCAAGGGTTGGATGGTCCCAGAAATTGGAGGATCCCAGAGGTTGAGGAGTTTGGGGGATCCCAAAGGTTGAAGGATCTCAAAGGTTGAAGGATCTCAAGAGTTGGGAGATCCCAAAAGTTGAAGGATCTCAAGGGTTGGGGAATCCCAAGAGTTGAAGGATTCCAAAGGTTTGGAGATCCCAAAGGTTGAAGGATCCCAAGAGTTGGGAGATCCCAAAAGTTGAAGGATCCCAAGGGTTGGATGGTCCCAGAAATTGGAGGATCCCAAAGGTTGAGGAGTTTGGGGGATCCCAAGGGTTGAGGGATCCCAAAAGTTGAAGGATCCCAAAGGTTGGATGGTCCCAGAAGTTGGAGGATCTCAAAGAGTTGAAGGACTCTAAGAGTTGAAGGATCCCAAAAGTTGAAGGATCCCAAAGGTTGAAGGATCCCAAGAACTGGGGGATCTCAAGGGTTGGGTGGTCCCAGAAGTTGGGAGATCCCAAAGGTTGAAGGTTCCCAAGGGTTGGAACCTCCTGGGCGAGAAGGTGACGCTCAAATCCTTCAGCAAGTACGTGGCCCAGCTCGACACCAAGAGTGAGTCTGGGGGGCTGGGGATGGGGATTGCACCAGGAGAGCCCAAAAGTTGGGTGGTCCCAAAAATTGAAGGATTCCAGAGGTTGAAGGATCCCAAGAGTTGGGAGATCCCAAGGGTTGGGAGATCCCAAGGGTTGAGAGATGTCAAGGGTTGAGAGATGTCAAGGGTTGAAGGATCCCAAGAGTTGGGAGATCCCAAGAGTTGGAGGATCTCAAGGGTTGAAGAACCTCAAGGGTTGGACGGTCCCAGAAGTTGAAGGATCCCAAGAGTTGAAGGACTGCAAGAGTTGAGGGATCCCAAAAGTTCAAGGATTCCAAGGGTTGAAGGAATCCAAGAACTGGAGGATCCAAAGGTTGAAGGATCTCAAAAGTTGGGGGATCTCAAGGGTTGAGAGATGTCAAGGGTTGAAGGATCTCAAGAATTGGTTGGAGGATCCCAAAAGTTGGAGGATCCCAAAGGTTGAAGGATTCCAAAGGTTTGGAGATCCCAAAGGTTGAAGGATCCCAAGGGTTGGGAGATCTCAAGAGTTGGAGGATCCCAAAAATTGAAGGATCCCAACAGTTGGAGGATCCCAGAAGTTGAGAGATCCCAAAGGTTGAAGGATCCCAAGGGTTGGGTGGTCCCAGAATTTGGAGGATACCAAAGGTTGAAGGATCTCAAAAGTTGAGGGATCCCAAAAGTTGGGGGATCTCAAGGGTTGAGAGATGTCAAGGGTTGGAGGACCCCAAAAGTTGAAGGATCCCAAAGGTTGGGTGGTCCCAGAAGTTGGAGGATCTCAAAGGTTGAAGGATATCAAGGGTTGGGTGGTCCCAGAAGTTGAAGGACTCCAAGAGTTCAAGGACTCTAAGAGCTGGAGGATCCCAAAAGTTGAAGGATCCCAAGGGTTGAAGGATTCCAAGAACTGGGGGATCTCAAGGGTTGGGTGGTCCCAGAATTTGGGAGATCCCAAAGGTTGAAGGTTCCCAAGAGTTGGAACCTCCTGGGCGAGAAGGTGACGCTCAAATCCTTCAGCAAGTACGCGGCCCAGCTCGACACCAAGAGTGAGTCTGGGGGGCTTGGGATGGGGATTGCACCAGGAGAGCCCAAAAGGTGAAGGATCCCAAAAGTTGAGGGATCCCAAGGGTTGGTTGGTCCCAGAAATTGGAGGATCCCAGAGGTTGAGGAGTTTGGGGGATCCCAAAGGTTGAGGGATCCCAAAAGATCTCAAGGGTTGAGAGATGTCAAGGGTTGAAGGATCCCAAGGGTTGAAGGATCTCAAAGGTTGGGTGGTCGCAGAAATTGGAGGAACTCAAGAGTTGAAGGATTCCAAGAGTTGGGGAATCCCAAAGGTTGAAGGATCTCAAGAGTTGGTTGGAGAATCCCAAGGGTTGGTTGGTTCCTGAAGCTGGAGGATCCCAGAAGTTGAAGGATCTCAAGGGTTGGGTGCTCTGAGAAGTTGGGAGATCCCAGAGGTTGAAGAGTTGGAAGGATTCCAAGAACTGGAGGATCCCAAGAGTTGAAGGATCTCAAGAATTTGGGTGGTTCCAGAATTTGGGGGATCCCAAAGGTTGAAGGATCCCAAGAGTTCGGAGATCTGAGAAGTTGAAGGATTCCAAGAGTTGGGGAATCCCAAGGGTTGAAGGATCCCAAAGGTTGAACAATTCCAAGCTTTGGTTGAAGGATCACAAGAGTTGAATGGTCCCAAAAGTTGGGTGGTCCCAAAAGTTGAAGGATCCCAAGGGTTGGATGGTCCCAGAAATTGGAGGATCCCAGAGGTTGAGGAGTTTGGGGGATCTCAAAGGTTGAGGGATCTCAAGGGTTGGGAGATCCCAAAAGTTGAAGGATGCCAAGGGTTGGGTGGTCCCAGAAGTTGAGGGATCCCAAGGGTTGAAGGATCTCAAGAACTGGAGGATCTCAAAGGTTGAAGGATCTCAAGGGTTGGGGGATCCCAAAGGTTGAACAATCCCAAGCTTTGGTTGAAGGATCTCAAGGGTTGGGTGGTCCCAGAAGTTGGAGGATCTCAAGGGTTGAAGGTTCCCAAGAGTTGGGACCTCCTGGGTGAGAAGGTGACGCTCAAATCCTTCAGCAAGTACACGGCCCAGCTCGACACCAAGAGTGAGTCTGGGGGTCTTCTTGGGATCTTCTTGGGATCTTCTTGGGGTCTTCTCAGGATCTGGGATGTTCCTGGAATTGCACCAGGAGATCCTAAAAGTTGAAGGATTCCAAGAGTTGAGGGATTCCAAGAGTTGGGTGGTCCCAAAAGTTGAGGAATCCCAAGGGTTGGATGGTCCCAGAGGTTGAGGAGTTTGGGGGAATCTCAAAGGTTGAGGGATCCCAAAAGTTGGGGGATCTCAAGGGTTGAGAGATGTCAAGGGTTGAAGGATCTCAAGAATTGGTTGAAGGATCCCAAGGGTTGGGTGATCCCAAAAGTTGAGGGATCCCAAGGGTTGGGTGGTCCCAGAAATTGGAGGATCCCAAAGGTTGAGGAGTTTGGGGAATCCCACAGGTTGAAGGATCTCAAAGGTTGAAGGATCTCAAGAGTTGGGAGATCCCCAAAGTTGAGTGGTCCCAAAAGTTGAAGGATTCCAAGAACTGGAGGATCTCAAAGGTTGAAGGATCCCAAGGGTTGGGAGATCCCAAAAGTTGAGGGATCCCGAGGGTTGAAGGATTCCAAGAATTGGAGGATCGGATCCCAAGGGTTGGGTGGTCCCAGAAATTGGAGGATCCCAGAGGTTGAGGAGTTTGGGAGATCCCAACGGTTGAAGGATCTCAAAGGTTGGGGGATCTCAAGGGTTGAGAGATGTCAAGGGTTGAAGGATCTCAAGAATTGGTTGAAGGATCCCAAAACTTGGGAGATCCCAAGAGTTGGAGGATCTCAAGGGTTGAAGGATCTCAAGAATTTGGGTGGTCCCAGAATTTGGGGGATCCCAATGGTTGGGAGATCTGAGAAGTTAAAGGATCTCAAGAGTTGGAGGATCCCAGAAGTTGAGGGATCCCAAAAGTTGGGGGATCTCAAGGGTTGAGAGATGTCAAGGGTTGAAGGATCTCAAGAATTGGTTGAAGGATTCCAAAAGTTGAAGGATCCCAAAACTTGGGAGATCCCAAAGGTTGAGGGATCCCAAAAGTTCAAGGATCCCAGAGGTTGAAGGATCCCAAGAGTTGGGAGATCCCAAGAGTTGAATGATCTCAAGAATTTGGGTGGTCCCAGAATTTGGGGGATCCCAAGGGTTGGGAGATCTGAGAAGTTGAAGGATCTCAAGAGTTGGAGGATCCCAGAAGTTGAAGGATCCCAAAGGTTGGTTGGTCCCAGAATTTGGGGGATCCCAAAGGTTGAAGGATCCCAAAGGTTGGAGGATCCCAAGAGTTGGGAGATCTCAAGAGTTGGGAAATCCCAAGAGTTGAAGGATCTCAAGGGTTGGATGGTCCCAGAAGTTGGAGGATCCCGAAAATTGAGGGATCCCAGAGCTTGGGTGATCCCAAGGTTGAGGGACGATCCCAAGGGTTGGGTGGTCCCCGTTGGACACCAAGAGGGAATTTTGGGATGCCGGGATTTCATTGGATCCATTTATGGGGATTCCACCAAATCTTATTTTGGGATTCCACCAAATCCATTTCTTGGGGTTCCCCCAGATCTGATTTTCGGGATTCCACCAGATCCATGTTTTGGGATTTCACCTGATCAATTTTTTGGGATTTCACTGGCTCTGCTTATTGGGATTCCACCAAATCTGATTTTCGGGATTCCACCAAATCCATTTTTTGGGATTCCACCCAATCAATTTTTTGGGATTCCATCCAATCAATTTTTTTGGGATTCCATCAAATCAATTTTTCAGGATTCCACCAAATCTGATTTTTGGGATTCACCCAGATTTGATTTTTGGGATTCCCCCAGATTTGATTTTTGGGATTCCACCAAATCCATTTTTTGGGGTTCCCCCAGATCTGATTTTCAGGATTCCCCCAAATCCATTTTTTGGGATTCCACCTGATCCATTTCTTGGGATTCCACCCAATCCATTTTTCGGGATTCCACCAAATCCATATTTTGGGATTCCACCCAAATCCATATTTTGGGATTCCACCAAATCAATTTTTCAGGATTCTACCAAATCCATTTTTTTGGGATTCCCCCAGATCTGATTTTTGGGATTCCACCCAATCAATTTTTCGGCATTCCACCGGATCAATTTTTCGGGATTCCCCCAGATCTGATTTTCGGGATTCCACCCAATCCATTTTTCAGGATTACACCCAATCAATTTTTCGGCATTCCACCCAATCAATTTTTCAGGATTACACCCAAATCCATTTTTTGGGATTTCACCGGCTCTGCTTATTGGGATTCCCCCAGATCTGATTTTTGGGATTCCACCAAATCCATTTTTGGGATCCACCCAATCAATTTTTCGGCATTCCACCAAATCCATTTTTCGGGATTCCACCTGATCCATTTTTTGAAGTTCCCCCAGATCTGATTTTTGGGATTCCACCTGATCAATTTTTCGGGATTCCCCCAGATCTGATTTTTGGGATTCCACCTGATCAATTTTTTGGGATTGCACCAAATCCATTTTTCAGGATTCCACCAAATCCATTTTTCAGGATTACACCCAATCAATTTTTTGGGATTCCCCCAGATCTGATTTTTGGGATTCCACCTGATCAATTTTTTGGGATTCCACCAAAACCATTTTTTGGGGTTCCTCCAGATCTGATTTTCGGGATTCCACCTGATCAATTTTTCAGGATTACACCCAAATCCATTTTTTGGGATTCCCCGAAATCTGATTTTTGGGATTCCACGCAATCCATATTTTGGGATTCCACCTGATCTGATTTTCGGGATTCCACCCGATCCATTTTTTGAGATTCCACCCAATCAATTTTTCGGGATTCCACCCAATCCATTTTTTGGGATTCCACCAAATCCATTTTTGGGATCCACCCAATCAATTTTTTGGCGTTCCACCAAATCCATTTTTTGGGATTCCACCAAATCTGATTTTTGGGATTCCACCCAATCCATTTACTGGGATTCCACCAAATCCATTTTTTGGGATTCCCCCAGATCTGATTTTCGGGATTCCCCCAGATCTGATTTTTGGCATTCCACCAAATCCATTTTTGGGATCCACCCGATCAATTTTTCGGGATTACACCCAAATCCATTTTTTGGGATTTCACCGGCTCTGCTTATTGGCATTCCACCAGATCTGATTTTTGGGATTCCACCTGATCAATTTTTTGGGATTCCACCAGCTCCATTTTTCAGAATTAACACCCAATCAATTTTCTGGGATTCCACCAAATCCATTTCTTGGGGTTCCCCCAGATCTGATTTTTGGGATTCCACCCAATCAATTTTTTGGGATTCCACCAAATCCATATTTTGGGGTTTCTCCAGATCTGATTTTTGGGATTCCACCCAATCCATTTTTTGGGATTCCACCCAATCCATTTTTTGGGATTCCCCCAGATCTGATTTTCAGGATTACACCCAATCAATTTTCTGGGATTCCACCAAATCCATTTCTTGGGATTCCCCCACATCTGATTTTTGGGATTCCACCTGATCCATATTTCGGGATTCCACCTGATCAAATTTTTGGGATTCCACCAAATCCATTTTTCAGGATTACACCAAATCCATTTTTCGGGATTCCGCCAAATCCATTTCTTGGGATTCCCCCCAATCCATTTTTTTGGGATTCCACCAAATCCATTTCTTGGGGTTCCTCCAGATCTGATTTTTGGGATTCCCCCAGATCCGATTTTTGGGATTCCACCTGATCAATTTTTTGGGATTCCACCTGATCAATTTTTCGGGATTCCACCAAATCCATGTTTTGGGATTCCACCAGCTCCATTTTTCGGGATTTCACCTGATCAGTTTTTTGGGATTTCACTGGCTCTGCTTATTGGGATTCCCCCAGATCTGATTTTTGGGATTCCACCAAATCCATTTCTTGGGATTCCACCAAATCCATTTTTTGAGATTCCCCCAGATCTGATTTTCGGGATTCCACCCAATCAATTATTCGGGATTCCACCCAATCAATTTTTTGGGATTCCACCTGATCTGATTTTCTGGGATTCCACCTGATCAATTTTTCGGGATTCCACCCAATCCATTTTTTGGGGTTCCCCCAGATCTGATTTTTGGGATTCCACCTGATCAATTTTTTGGGATTCCACCAAATCCAATTTTTGGGATTCCACCTGATCAATTTTTCGGGATTCCACCAAATCCATTTTTTGGGATTCCACCAAATCCATTTTTTGGGATTCCCCCAGATCTGATTTTTGGGATTCCACCCAATCAATTTTTTGGGATTCCACCCAAATCCGTTTTTTGGGATTCCATCAAATCAATTTTTCGGGATTCCACCAAATCCATTTTTTGGGATTCCACCTGATCCATTTTTTGGGATTCCACCAAATCCATTTCTTGGGATTCCCCCAGATCTGATTTTCGGGATTCCACCAAATCCATTTTTCAGGATTCCACCCAAACAATTTTCTGGGATTCCACCTGATCAATTTTTTGGGATTCCACCAAATCCATTTTTCAGGATTACACCCAAATCCATTTTTTGGGATTTCACCGGCTCTGCTTATTGGCATTCCACCAGATTTGATTTTTGGGATTCCACCTGATCAATTTTTCGGGATTCCACCAAATCCATTTTTCAGGATTACACCCAATCCATATTTTGGGATTCCACCCAATCCATTTTTCAGGATTCCACCTGATCAATTTTTTGGGATTCCACCAAATCCATTTCTTGGGATTCCACCCAATCCATATTTTGGGATTCCCCCAGATCTGATTTTTGGGATTCCACCTGATCAATTTTTTGAGATTCCCCCAGATCTGATTTTTGGGATTTCACCCGATCCATATTTTGGGATTCCACCAAATCCATTTTTTGGGATTCCACCTGATCAATTTTTTGGGATTTCACCAAATCCATTTCTTGGGATTCCCCCAGATCTGATTTTTGGGATTCTACCAAATCCATGTTTTGGGATTCCACCTGATCAATTATTTGGGATTCCACCAAATCCATTTTTTTGGGATTCCACCCAATCCATATTTTGGGATTCCGCCAGCTCCATTTTTCAGGATTATACCCAAACAATTTTTTGGGATTCCACCAAATCCATTTTTTGGGATTTCACCTGATCAATTTTTTGGGATTTCACTGGCTCTGCTTATTGGGATTCCACCAGATCTGATTTTTGGGATTCCACCTGATCAATTTTTGGGATTCCACCCAAATCTGATTTTTGGGATTCCACCCAATCCATTTTTTGGGATTCCACCAAATCCATATTTTGGGATTCCACCCACATCTGATTTTTGGGATTCCACCTGATCAATTTTTCGGGATTCCACCAAATCCATTTCTTGGGATTCCCCCAGATCTGATTTTCGGGATTCCACCCAATCCATTTTTGGGATTTCACCGTCTCCCCTTTCCGTTTCCCACAGCCGACTCCACGGGCACGCACTCGCTCTACACCACGTACCAGGACTACGAGATCATGTTCCACGTGTCCACCATGCTGCCCTACACGCCCAACAACCGCCAGCAGGTACCTCCAGAACCTTCCGTGGAAGCCATGGAGATCGGCAGCTCCCAACGTTGGGAGGTCCCAAAAGTTGGGAGATCCCAGAAGTTGGGAGGTCCCAAGGGTTGGATGATCCCAAGGGTTGATTGGGAGATCCAAGAGTTGGAGAATTCCAAGGGTTGGGAGGTCCCAAGGGTTGGGAGATCCCAAAAGTTGGGAGATCCCAAGGGTTGGGTGGTCCCAGGAGTTGGGGGAACTCAAGGTTTGAAGGATTCCAAGAGCTGGGAGATTCCAAAAGTTGGAGGATCTCAAGGATTGGGTGGTCCCAGGAGTTGGATGATCCCAAGGGTTGGTTGGGAGATCCAAGAGTTGGAGGATCCCAAAGATTGGATGATCCCAAAGGTTGGTTGAGGTATCCAAGGGTTGGAGAATTCCAAGGGTTGCGTGGTTGCAAGGGTTGGTTGATCCCAAGGATTGAAGGATCCCAAGAGTTGGGAGATCCCAAAGGTTGGGTGGTCCCAGAAGTTGGAGAATCCCAAGGGTTGGGTGGTTCCAAGAGTTGGGAGATCCCAAAGGTTGGAGGATCCCAAGGGTTGGGGGAACTCAAGGGTTGAAGGATTCCAAAAGCTGGGAGATTCCAAGGGTTGGGAGGTCCCAAGGGTTGGTTGGTCCCAGGAGTTGGGGGAACTCAAGGGTTGAAGGATTCCAAAAGCTGGGAGATTCCAAAAGTTGGAGGATCCCAAAAGTTGGAGGATCCCAAGGGTTGGTTGGTTCCAAGATTTGGAAGATCCCAAAGATTGGATGATCCCAAAGATTGGATGATCCCAAAGGTTGGTTGAGGGATCCAAGAGTTGAAGGATTCCAAGAGTTGGGAGATCCCAAAGGTTGGGTGGTCCCAGAAGTTGGATGATCCCAAGGGTTGGCTGGGAGATCCAAGAGTTGGAGAATCCCAAAGCTTGGTTGAGGAATCCAAGGGTTGAAGGATTCCAGGATTTGGGAGATCCCAAAAATTGGATGATTCCAGTGGTTGGTTGGGAGATCCAGGAGTTGGATGATCCCAAAGGTTGGGTGGTTCCAAGGGTTGGTTGGGAGATCCAGGAGTCGGAGAATCCCAAAGCTTGGTTGGTTCCAAGATTTGGAAGATCCTAAAGATTGGATGATCTCAAGAGTTGGAGGATCCCAAGAGTTGGAGAATCCCAAGGGTTTGGGTGGTTTCAAGAGTTGGGTGGTCCCAGAAGTTGGAGGATCCCAAGGGTTGGCTGGGAGATCCAAGAGTTGGAGGATCTCAAAGCTTGGTTGGTTCCAAGATTTGGACGATCCCAAAGATTGGATGATCTCAAGAGTTGGAGATCTCAAGGGTTTGGTGGCCCCAAGGGTTCGATGGTTCCAAGATTTGGATGATCCCAAAAATTGGAAGATCCCAGTGGTTGATTGGGAGATCCAAGAGTTGAAAGATCTCAAGGGTTGGGTGGTTCCAAGAGTTGGATGATCCCAACATTTGGAGGATCCCAAAGGTTGGTTGAGAGATCCCAAGGGTTGAAGGATTCCAAGAGGTGGAAGATCCATGAGTTGGAGAATCCCAAGGGTTGGGTGGTCCCAAGAACTGGAGGATCCCAACATTTGGAGGATCCCAAAGGTTGGTTGAGGGATGCCAAGGGTTGAAGGATTCCAAGATTTGGGAGATCCCAAGAATTGGAAGATCCCAAAGATTGGATGATCTCAAGAGTTGGAGGATCCCAAGGGTTGAAGGATTCCAAGAGCTGGAGATCTCAAGGGTTTGGTGGTCCCAAAGCTTGGTTGGTTCCAAGATTTGGGAGATCCCAAAAATTGGATGATCCCAGTGGTTGGTTGGGAGATCCAAGAGTTGGAGGATCCCAAGGGTTGGTTGATCCCAAGACTTGGGAGAATCCCAAAGATTGGATGATCCCAGTGGTTGGTTGCGAGATCCAAGAGTTGGAGAATCCCAAGGGTTGGGTGGTTCCAAGATTTGGAAGATCCCAAAGATTGGATGATCTCAAGAGTTGGAGGATCCCAAGGGTTGAAGGATTCCAAGAATTGGGAGATCTCAAAGGTTGGGTGGTCCCAAAATTTGGAGAATCCCAAGGATTGGGTGGTTCCAAGAGTTGGTTGGAAGATCCAAGAGTTGGAGAATTCCAAGGGTTGGGTGGTCCCAGAAGTTGGACGATCCCAAAGATTGGATGATCTCAAGAGTTGGAGGATTCCAAAAGTTGAGTGATTCCAAGGGTTGAAGGATTTCAAGATTTGGGACATTCCAAGGGTTGGATGGTCCCAGAAGTTGGGAGATCCCAAGGGTTGGGTGGCCCCAGGAGTTGGGGGAACTCAAGGTTTGAAGGATTCCAAGAGCTGGGAGATCCCAAAAGTTGGAGGATCCCAAGGGTTGGTTGGTCCCAAAATTTGGAGGATCCCAAGGGTTGGTTGGGACATCCAAGAGTTGGAGAATCCCAAGGATTGGTTGATCTCAAGGGTTGGAGGATTCCAAAAGTTGGGAGATCCCAAGAGCTGGGTGATCCCAAGGGTTGAAGGATTCCAAGTGTTGGAGATCTCAAGGGTTGGGTAGTCCCATGAATTGGATGATCCCAAGGGTTGGTTGGGAGATCCAAGAGTTTGGAGATCCCAAGGGTTCAAGGATTCCAAGAGTTGGAAGATCTCAAGAATTGGACGATCCCAAAAATTGGATGATCCCAGTGGTTGGTTGGGAGATCCAAGAGTTGAAAGATCCCAAGGGTTGGGTGGTTCCAAGAGTTGGAGGATCCCAAGGGGTGAAGGATTCCAAGAGTTGGTTGGTTGATCCCAAGATTTGGGAGATCCCAAGATTTGGATGATCCCAAGATTTGGATGATCCCAGTGGTTGGTTGGGAGATCCAAAAGTTGGAGGATCCCAAAGCTTGGTTGGTTCCAAGATTTGGAAGATCCCAAAGATTGGATATCTCAAGAGTTGGAGGATCCCAAGGGTTGAAGGATCCCAAGGATTGAATGAACTCAAAGGGTTGGTTGAAGGATCCAAGGGTTGAAGAATTCCAAGAGTTGGACAATCCAAGAGTTGGATGATCCCAGTGGTTGGGTGGGAGATCCAAGAGTTGAAAGATCCCAAGGGTTGGGTGGTTCCAAGAGTTGGATGATCCCAACATTTGGAGGATCCCAAAGGTTGGTTGAGGGATTCCAAGATTTGGAAGATCCCAAAAATTGGAAGATCCCAAGGGTTGGTTGGGAGATCCAAGAGTTGGAGAATCCCAAAGCTTGGTTGGTTCCAAGATTTGGAAGATCCCAAAGATTGGATGATCTCAAGAGTTGGAGGATCCCAAGGGTTGAATGAACTCAAAGGGTTGGTTGAAGGATCCAAGGGTTGAAGAATTCCAAGAGTTGGACAATCCAAGAGTTGGGTGCTCCCAAGATTTGGAGGATCCCAAGGGTTGGTTGGGAGATCCAAGAGTTGAAAGATCCCAAGGGTTGGGTGGTTCCAAGAGTTGGATGATCCCAAAATTTGGATGATCCCAAAGGTTGGTTGAGGGATCCAAGGGTTGAAGGATTCCAAGAACTGGGAGATCCCAAGGGTTGGGAGATCCCAAAAGTTGGAGGATCCCAAGGGTTGGTTGGGAGATCCAAGGGTTGGAGAATTCCAAGGGTTGGGTGGTTCCAAGATTTGGATGATCCCAAAATTTGGATGATCCCAGTGGTTGGTTGAGGGATCCCAAGCGTTGAAGGATTCCATGATTTGGGAGATCCCAAGAATTGGAGGATTCCAAGATTTGGAAGATCCCAAAATTTGGAGAATCCCAAGGGTTGGTTGGGAGATCCAAGAGTTGGAGGATCCCAAAGCTTGGTTGGTTCCAAGATTTGGATGATCCCAAAAATTGGATGATCCCAAGGATTGGTTCGGAGATCCAAGAGTTGGAGAATCCCAAGGGTTGGGTGGTCCCAAGAACTGGAGGATCCCAAAATTTGGAGGATCCCAAAGTTTGGTTGAGGGATCTCAAGATTTGGGAGATCCCAAGAATTGGAGGATTCCAAGATTTGGAAGATCCCAAGGATTGAATGAACTCAAAGGTTGGTTGAAGGATCCAAGAGTTGGAAAATCCAAGGGTTGAAGGATCCCAAGAGTTGGTTGGTTGATCCCAAGACTTGGGAGAATCCCAAAAATTGGATGATCCCAGTGGTTGGTTGGGAGATCCAAGAGTTGGAGGATCCCAAGGGTTGGGTGGCCCCAAAGCTTGGTTGGTTCCAAGATTTGGGAGATCCCAAAAATTGGATGATCCCAAGGATTGGTTGGGAGATCCAAGAGTTGGAAGATCCCAAAGATTGGAAGATCCCAAACTTTCGTTGACCAACCCCAAAAACCAAAACCCCCCAAAAGACCCAAACAACCCCAAAACTCCCTCAAAACCACCCCAAATCTTCATCCCACCCATTCCCAATGGATTTTTATTCCCAAACCATCGAAATTCCCAAAAAATTTTTCCTTTTCCAGCTTCTCCGGAAGCGCCACATCGGCAACGACATCGTCACCATCATCTTCCAGGAGCCGGGCGCGCTGCCCTTCACGCCGCAGAGCGTCCGCTCGCACTTCCAGCACGTCTTCATCATCGTGCGCGCCCACCAGCCCTGCTCCGACAGCGTCTCCTACAGGTGGGACCTGGATTTGGGGGAGAATCCTGAAAATTCTGCGGAATTTGGTTAAAAATTTAAAAAAAAAATGGGAAAAATCGGAAAAAAAAAGGCGAAAATACGCGAAAATTCGCGAAGATTTG